CCCACCCCGGCAACCATCAGTTTGCTCTCTATAGTTAAGAGTCTGTTTCTTGGTTTGTCTCTCTTACTCTGTTTTTTACCCCCTTCGCTCATTTGTTTTGTTTCTTAAATTCCACATATGAGTGAAATCATATGCTATTTGTCTTTCTCTGACTGACTTATTTCACTTAGCATTACGCTCTCTAGCTCCATCCACGTTGTTGCAAACGGCAAGATTTCATTTCTTTTTATGGTTGAGTAATATTCCATTGTGTGTGTATACTACATCTTCTTTATCCACTCATCAGCTGATGGACATTTGGGCTCTTTCCATAATTTGGCTATTGTTGATAATGCTGCTATAAACATTGGGGTGTTGAATTAGTGTTGTTGTATTCTTTGGATAAATATCCAGCAGTGTGATTGCTGGATTGTAGGGTAGTTCTATTTTTAACTTTTTGAGGAACCTCCATACTGTATTCCAGAGTGGCTTGGACCAACAGTGCAAGAGGGCTCGCCTTTCTCCAGACATGACATGAATTTGACAATTCTCTCCTCCCTTCCCTGCCAGCACCACCCCCACCCCTTTCTTGGAGTCCAGCTTCTCTGTGGGGAGGAACTGTGGGAAATGGAAAGGTGTTTTTTACTTAAGTGGGGTTGTGATTTAAATGCTCTTTGGGTGTCCTTCTTCCCTAAAAACCCCCACTTGGACCATGTCTTCTGTTGGAGGCAGGCCCTCCATTGAGGGACCCTTCACCCTACCTGTGAGAGTTGCCCAGGAAGGTGAGGCCGAGGGCAAGGATGGTGATCAGCAAGGCTTCCTGAGGGGATTTTGAAGTGAGTCTTGGAGGAGGAGGAGACACTTAGCAGATGAGCCAGGCAGGGGCGAGGATGAAGACAAGATGCCTGGCATGGGCTCTGCCATGAGCGGAAGCCTGTGATTACTCCTCAGACAAGCCACACAGTGGCTCTGACTTTTCCAGTAGCCCAAAACATAGGGCCATTTTCTAATCTATTTAATAATAGGCAAGTACTCTGGTGTCTGCTCAGCTCACGGTTTTGGAACAAATGGACCCAATTAAAAGGCCATCAAAAGGGGATACAGAGGAAGAGGAAAAAGCCGTTGATCAAATCAACGCCCAGCTGCCCTGGGGCTGGTCTGTGACCTGCTGCAACAGAATCCTTGCTCCCATCCTGCCCTCTCCTCCCCCAGACACTGCCCCAGACCTGGGGACCTTCCTGCTATCCCTAGCGCCATTCTCCACCCCACTCAGGGACCTGTGGGTATGTGCCACCCCACTAGACCTCCTCTGGACTGCAGTCACTGCCTACCAAACCTTGCGGGAAAAATCTATCAGGAATCTTATTGGCTCTTCCTTCAAAATACATCTGGCTTCGGTCCGTTTCTCACCACCTCCATCGCTACCACCGGGTCCCAACCGCCATGATCTCTCTCCTGGCTTCCTGCGTTAGCTCCTTCCTGCTCTTGCTGCTCCGCTCTGGTTTATTCACAACACAGCAGCCAGATCCTTTTTTTTTTTTTTTAATTTATTTTAGAGAGAGAGAGAAAGAGAGAGCAAACGGGAGCAGGGGGAGGGGCAGGGGGACAGAGAGAGAGAGAGAACCTCAAACAGACTCCACGCTGAGCAGGGAACCCAACATGGGGCTCTATCCCACGACCCTGAGATCATGACCTGAGCTGAAATTAAGAGTCAGCTGCTTAACTGATTGAGCCACCCAGGCGCCCCTAGCCAGATCCTTCTAAAATGCAAGCCTAATTGTATCTCTGCCGTGATTTTCCGCCTCATTCCACGTCCTACGAGATTCTCCCCATCTCTGGCCTCCACTCCTCCTGCCTGCACTCCAGTCACTGCCTCCTTACACAGGCAGGGGGAACAGGTGTTTACTCTCCCCTCAGGGAGCCCCTCGGTTAACTCCCACTCCTCCTTCAAGTCTGCTCAAATGCCCTGTTTTGGGCCCCTCCTGAGGCTTCACCTGGCCATTCTCTTTAAAATCACACCCCCCCACACACACCCATTACCCTCTACTTGCCCACCCTCCCAAACCCTCTTTCTGCTCTGCTGTTCATCTTCTAGCATACCATGGAATTTACATTTAATTAAGACTGGTGTTTTTTTTTTTTGTCTCTCCCATCCCGCCTTGAATGTCAACTCCACAAGGGAAGGGTCTTTGTTTTTTTATTCACTGATGATTTCCAACTATCTACAACAGTACCTGGAATATAGTAGGCTCTTGGTAAATATTTGTTGAATAAATGGATGAATGAATCGATAATATTTTTACCTCAAAGAGCCATTGTGAAGCTTACATGAAATAATCAATTTGACCTGTTTTGCAAAGGAAAGGAATGAACATCTAATGAGTATCCACTGGTACTAGATAGTCTACAAAACAGTTTATAGAGTTTATCTCATTTATTCCTCATTACGAATAACCATTCATTCATTCATCCAACAAGTAATTGTTGTATACCTACCATGTGCCAGTCACCGTTCTGGGCACTGGGGATAAATTAGTGACCAAAATAGACAAAGACCCCTGTCTTCTGGGAGCTTTCACCCTAGTAGAAAGAGACAGGTAGTACCAACAAAATATGAATTTTATGATGAGGAAACTGAAGTGCCCATTAATCATCTGATTAATGAGTGGCAGAGTCAAGATTCAAATGGAAAAGCCCAAAGTCTCTGTGATTTCTAAGCATCATGAATGAAGGCACCTGGATTCAGGTGGAGGAAAAGTCTGTAGGTGAGGGCTGCAGGTGTAGAACAAAGCTGTGAGGGTGGGGCTTGGAGGGCTGGCTCACCTTTGTGCTTCCCACTTCATCCCCAAGGGCCCTGCACTTGGGCCTCCCCTTCCACATGACTGAGAGTCAGATGCATTTTACATACTAATGTGCTGGTGGGATCCAAATTACAGACATCACTTGGGCAGTGGGTGAACCCTGACTTCCGCTCAGATGCAGTCACAGGGGGTGTTAGGAGGACCAGCTGAGCTTGGTCACACCTCCCAGGAGGTGGAGTCCAGTCTTAGAAGCTACCATGTGAGGAGGAAAGGACTTCTAGGGGCATCCAGAGGTCCGGGGCTCTAGTGGGGGTGGAGGCATTGGAATGGGGCAGGGCTGGGGGCAGGTGCCTGAGAAAGTCCCTCACGAGGGCCTCTAGCCCCTCTCCCAAACACTCAGCTGTGTCCTCAAACCCAGAGCTTGGGTGTCTTCCTGACAGCCAGTGAAGGTGGGGAACCCCGTCTGGGGCCTTGAAGGTAAGCAGGAGGTCAAAGGGACACACAAGGCCAGAGGACATTATGGCACCGTCCTCAGGGACACCCCCCACCCCTGGAAGAACCAGAGAGGGTCAAGTCAGCAACTTTGAAACCTCAAGTTGGGAGGCTGCCAGGGGCAATGCCCCAAAGATGGAGCAGCTGGGTCTACCCCTCAGTCTTGCCAAAGCCAACATCTGGACATGGTGTGCTTCCTCCGAGAGGGGAAAACACCCACAGTGTGGCATTTTGTCCTGGCGCCAGAGCACACATGATGGGTCAGCTGGGGGCTATAGGGCTCTACATGGGGCAGTCCCTGAGAGCCCATGGGGGTGGGTAGGCTGGAATAGAGAGCTGAAATGTCACCTGCTCTCATTCTTTCACCCAGGAATCTCTTATCAGTGTGGGTCAGCGCCACCAGGAACACACCTGTAGCCAGCAAGCCTGGGCTTATTATTTGATGCAGCAAAGACTTCACACTGGGGGATCCCTGGGGTGTCTCCAAAGCAGGGAGTTAGAGAAGGATGCTTATAGGATCGTGGGGGGCTAGAGTTACTCAAAGGATGGTCTCTGGCAGAGATTGGTCAGAATTTGCAGAGCAGGGATTTGCTGGAGGGGTCAGCAATCCTGTGCTGAGAACACAGGAGTCCTCCAGCAGTGTTACTATTAGATCTATTTGTCTGTAGTCTTCTCTTGGAACTGTGAGTCTAAGGACATAGGTGTTTATAAGTGTGCGCTTAGTCTGAGATGGACAGCGTGGCTTGATCAAGCACTATTACCTGTTTTGCAAGTCAGGGTATGTTTTGCAAACTGTGTTCCCTGTTTCAATTCTCAGTCCTACTCCCACCTCGCACTCTCCAACAACCTGGCGGCCAGCAGGATCCTTTCCCTTTTATCATTCCACAGGCGAAGGTCTGGACCTCAGCCCAGACTCCCCCACCACTCCTGCGTCTGCAGCCACTCTGGCCACCAGGGGGCAGCAGGGAAGCGTCCGCGAACTGGGCACCTACAGCCTCGGAAGCACAGCCCAAGAAGGGAGGGGAGCCCGCGCTCAAGAATGAAGGAATGGGTCTGATGCTCTGAACTGCTGGGTTTGCTTCCCTTTGTTGCCAGGAATTCTGGGACCGGGGAACAAAAAGAGAAGGAAAATGGGGAGAGTGGAGGGACAGGAGCTGGGGAAAAGGAAGAAGAATGGGGAATGAAGGGAGTAGAAAGGGGTCCCCAGAGCTGGCTGCTGGGGATTTAGTAGTAAATTAAGAATAGAGGAACTTAATTGACTTGGGCCATGAAGCACGCACACACCGGGTCCTCTCCCCACTCCCCGTCTCTCCCTGCCATCCCCTTCCATTAGTTTGACCTCCTGGCAGCCCCTCTTCCCTCTGCTTCCTCCAGGGTGGCTGTCCACCCGAAGCTCTTCTGTCTCTTAGGTATCTACTTGGTATCTGTGGGGGCTGCCCTTCCGCCTCGGCACTCTCCCTGGAACACAGATGTGACAACTCAACACACACATAAACACACACACACATTAGCACAGGCTGTGTGGTGACCCATGCAGTAGGCTTTGATTTCCTCCCCCACATTTTGCAGTTGCTTTGGTCACAAAGGCTGGTCTAACAGTTTAATCCCACAATGAGGTGGGACTTTTCATGTGGCTGCTGATTTGGAATTTGGCTCCAGGATATAAATCTAAGGATACACAGGGGATAAAATACCCTACATTTGAAAGAAACCCCAAAACAACTGGGCTCAGACACCTTCTCAGAGTTTATTACCCCAGCCCTCTACCACCCTCCATGCTGTCTACAAGCTGAACACTGGGCTCAGTGACCTTGAAAACATCCCTGCTTTTGTGAGTTCTGAACCAAGCCAGGTGAGGGGTGCTCTCGGAAAGTCACTCAAGAGTCTGGGGCATATGAGTTAGAGTCTCAGCAAGAAAGATGGGGCACACTCAGACTGGGTGAATGAAGAGACTCTTTACAAAGGTGTGGGCTGGTGTTTGGAGGGCTCCACTCGGAGGCGCACTGTTGGTCATGTTGTCCTAGCGAGAGAAGCAAGGACAGCAAGAAAGGACTGTGGCAGTCCTGGGGATGGTATACTGGTCCCTTTCCTCCTCACCACCTTGCCTGACATCCAGAGGAGAGAGGGACACAAAGGAGGGGTGAGGTGGGTCCTCCCAGCACGGGGGAAGAAGAGGGGTGGGCATTAAATTAAGTAGGGCTTGGAACCTTAAGCTGGAATGAACTTTGTTACCCACAAGTGACTCAAATATTGGGAGTTTGCCATTTAAACAGTTCATGGATGGGAAAGGGAAATCAGACATGGAGTATACTCGGCAGTACTGGTAGGAAAATAAAATAGCTGTGTTTGGGCCTTCCTGCATTCTCACTGTTCAGTAAGCTGGAAAAAGAAGTATTAGCAGTTCCATTTTATAAAGAAATTGAATGTGTGGTCATGGAGCTGGTGATGGCTGAGCTAGGCCAGAACCCTGCTCCTCCTGCCTCAACTTCCCTGGGTCCCCCAACCTCCTTCTTTCCCCAGAGCCACAACTCGGTAACCCTGAATTCAGTGCAAGCTAAAGCCACATTCGCGAAAAACAGGACTGAAGAGAGTGCCCCAGGTTCCCAAGATACACCCCCTTCCACCCTCGTCCCTTAGGCCCCTTTCCAGCATGCCCCGCTGAGGTCCTCCAAGGGGAGTTCTCAGAAGGCGCATGCGGTGCTGATGAGGGCAGTGGAGGCTTCACGGGCCTCGCATCCAGTCTCCATGCTGACTGCTATGTGGCCTTGGGCAAGGCACAGCTCTCTCTGGGCCTCTCGTCCCTCTAAGCAGCCAAACCATCCCTGGGCTCCCTGCCAGGAGGGAAAACTGATTCCAACCGGCCCTGTCTTCCAGGGTACTCACGTGCTGCTTCACAACAGCCTTCGGGAGTTAACAGCCCCGGGAAGCCATGTCAAGTTGGGGAGGCCCAGAGGGTAGGGGCAGGGAAGATATTTTGCGGCGGGTGGGTCTCCCGGTCACTGCTGGACAATGGTCCAGGGCAGCCATTGTGCCGGGAGTGGAAAATCCTTTTCTGACTCCATCTCCAAGAGCTGAAAATAGTCCAGGGTGAGCCCTTGGGGACTGAGTCTGGGGCCATGAGTGACTGGCCCAGCCCGGCCCATTGTTCCTGGCTGGAACAGGACTGAGACTGGACACCTGGCTGAACGAGAGCCAAGACAGAGGCTGAAGCTCAGGAAGCCTGTATTGGAGGAAGAGCGGCTGGGCAGAGCCAAGCCCCATGGCAGACGGGAAAACTGAGGCCCAGAGAGGCGAAGGGATTCACCAAGGCACATGGTGCACAGGGGAGAGGAGGAGGAGAGCTTGGCTTCTGGGGTTCATCTGCCCTCCGCTCTCCACCCCCCACCAGCACATGCCGCTTGGAAAGGCAAACACATCTCTCACCCTGCAGTTCAGGCACTCCTTGGCCAGACTCCCCCCTCCACCTGCAAGGGGCGGGGCCATCGGACAGCGGACCAGCTCCGCTCCGAGCCCCTGTGGGGTGCCAATGGTGTCGCTTTACCTCTCTGTCGCTTGATGCCAGGGGAGAATCACTGCCCACTCCAGTCCTCAGAACTGAGAGCCCAGGGGGTTGGGGGAATGCCTGGGGGGGAATGCCTGTTTGTTGTGCCTTTGCTGAAGATCGAGGTGGCTGATGTCCTAACTGAGGCAGGGACAACCGGGTCATGGGAGGCAAGGGCTCCAAGCTCCAGAGGGTGGCCCAGAGAGGGCAGGCGGGCAGCCTCCGGTCACACAGCAAAAGTTACCCATTCAATGCCTGCTCTGGGTCCTGGCAGCCTGGGTCTCCGGGCTCTTGGTTGAACCAAGAAGTAGTTGTAGCACCCCACGATGGGGACCATCAGTTAGGGAGAAATGGCTGTTGCCATGGGCGAGTGGGAGCTCTCTGGTCCACAGGGGCTGGCTCCAGAAGCTTGATATCAAGGGCCTCCCTCCCTCCTCCTCCCCTTCCCCCTCTTGCTTCTCCCTGCTGCCCTCTCACGGCCTGGCATAGGCACGAGGTGCTGTAAACACACACAGGCCCATGGGCCTGAAGGCCACCCAGTGCCAAGGGTAGACCCGCTTTCCTCCTCCTCCTCCATCCTGGGGTCACAGGAGGCCCACTGTTGCTCACTGGCTGGACATTCCTTTCCTTCAATAATGTATCCTAGTGTGGTTATATATTACATTATGTCCACTCCATGAGGGCAGGGTCCAGCTGGTTTACCTCTGTATCACCTTGGCACCGTGCCTGCCCTGTAAATGCTTACCAAGTGTTTCGTGCATATTGATCCAATGCCCTGCGTGGGAGGTGGTACGTCCTCTCGGAAATGAGAAAACCAAGGCCCTGCAAGATTCAGTAACTTGCCCGAGGTGGTACAGCTGCAGGAGCAGAGATAACTTTCAGACAGAGGTAGTACGGGCATCGAATCTGTGCTCTCAACCCCATCCCCACCACACTGCCCCTTTCATCTTGAATCCCACGGAGGGTTGCTTACAGACCCTCCTGCCCAGCAGAGGTTGCAAGTGGCATGGGATGCTGGAAAGGAACTAATCTGGGCATCTGATGGACTCAGATTCGATCCTGACTCACTCCCTGATTGCCTGTACAGCCTGGAGCAAGTCCTCACTTCTCAGAGCCTGTCCCCTCCTCTGCTAAATGGGGATAATAATGTCTCTTTCACACAGTTGTGGGGAAGAATAAATAATAGAGACGAGAGGTGCCTGGGGCCTGCGTTAATACACGAGTACCCTTCCTCATGAGCTTGACTCTGAACAGAATAGCTCGATCTGTCATGACAAGGGTAGTGGCAGAGGGGTAGCTTTGGGGGCCTAACCTCCCTCCTGGGCCCTGGAACACCTGCCCCACAGGGCAGAGACCCCCTGTGTCCCAGGGCCCCGTCCTGGATGCACAGAGCTCACCAAGACTAGCTCCTCCCCCCGCACTGTCCCCCCTCTCCTCTCCTATGCCCCTGGCCTCAGTGCCACGGCTCCGGCCACCAGCTCCATCCACCGGGGTGGGGAGAGCTGGGGCAGTGAGGGTGATGACAGGAATCCCACAAAGGCATCGACCTGAACTAAAGGGAGCAGAGCAGCAGGGACAGCCTGAGCCCCTGGCGCACATCCAGGTGCCACGCTGACCTGCTGAGTGACCTTGGGCAAGGCCCCACCCCTCTCAAGTCTACAGCTAGGCTGGATAATCCCCGGGGTCCCTGTCAGGTGACTATGCCCTTTCACAGTGGCCTTCAAGAGTCAACAGCCCCAGGACGTGATGTCAGGGTGAGGAGGTGGGGGGGTTGGGAGGGAGCACGGAGGCCCAGTGAGTAAGAGGAGATATTTTGAGAGCAGGCAGGTCCCCCCACGTCACTACTGGACAATGGTCTGGGGCTGGGAGTGGAAAATCCTGCTCTTACTCGGGCTGAAAATAGCACAAGGCAGGAGGGTCAGGAACCTCACCCGCTAGGTGGATGGTTTGGGCCCTGAGCAGTAAGGCCAGACATCCACATTGAGGGGTCAGGCAGTCTGACTGGGGCCCAGGGGTGGAACCCTGGGCCTGTCCCTGGTTCCCTTAGAGTCTCTCTTTTCCACCTCCACCAGTGTCTGCCACTGGATTAGATGGTGAGTAAGGCTCTCCTTTTCCCTAGGTCCTTTGTCCTTAGACATGTGCAGGCGGCTGGTTCAAGGAAGGCTTCCTGGGGCTAGGCCATAGTGTTGGCTCCATGTGCTGTAGGGCCCTGGGTTCTCAGGGTCTCCAGGACAACTGCTTGAGGAGTAGGTAGGCAGGACATGAAAGGAATGGGGACTAAGGGTACTTGGGCATTTGGTGGCCACAGCCCTACCCCCAACCATAGATGCACACTCAGGAGTCCCCAGAATCACGATGTATAACCTCCTGCCTCTGGGTCTAAGCAGGGCTGAGGGAATCAGAGCCCAGCATTTACACTCTTGGGTGTAATCTTACCTGGGTATGGGGTTCCTATAAACTAGGATGGGGTCCAGCCTGAGCAGTAGCTGGTAGGAAAGAGATAGGCTTAGGCCTGCAGGAAAGGCTCAAGGACAGTTTGCAAAAGATAGTCACAAAAAAGCTCACAGGGACTCTGGTTACATTAACAGAAGTATAGGACCTAGAATATGGGAGGTGAGCATTTCACACTACTTTGAGCAGGTCACCCACATTGCAATGCAGAGTAATTTTCCTGGATCATGGCTTGTGATGGGTCCCCGTTGCATGAGGGAGCTGTGGAGTTAGACTCTAAATAGAGAACCCTTGGGGGATGCCCCATTCTGACAAAGTAGAATGGGAAGGGTGAAGAAGTCATAAGAGGCGGGCAGAATTTGGGTGGGAAAAGAACCTTCTCTCAGGCAGAGTGGGCCGATAGGGCAAGGGGTCTCCCAGAGGGAGAGGGAGTGAGTCTTTATGTTTGAGATTAAGAGTGAGGCCTGTCAGCTTTGCCCTACTCCTGCCCTAAGGCTGAGCTGGGCCCTGTTCAGCTGAGCTCTACAAATCTCCGCAGTGGTCCTGGCTGGACCCAGAATCTGTCACAGGTGAGAAAGATCTCCCTCACCCGAAGCCCTGACCCAGGCTGAGCACCAACTATTATGCCATATAGCCGGATCTTCCCAAGAGGCAGAGGATGGGACAGGAAGAGAAGTGAATCTCTCCCATACTTAGCCCCTGCTCAAAGGAAACCTCAGGTAAAGGCAAGGAGGGAGCCCTGTCTTGGTATCCTTGTGACCCACCCCCCAGCCTCATTCCTGCTGTGAGCCTGGGTGCCGGCTGCCCGGCCTGCCTCCAGTTCCTGCTTAGCCTGATTTCCTGTCCCCATGTCTTTGCCCAGGATGCACCCTGCCCCTGGATGTTCTTCTCTGATGAACTGCTTTCCTCAGAAGCTACAGCTCAGGAGTGTCCCCCGCTCCAGGAAGCCTCCCTGACCCCCTGGTCCACAGCCCCAACCACTCAGCATTTTCCATGGTGTGCTGGAGCATCTGGGACCTGCTTGCAAAAGCCAATTGTTAAATTTTCAGGAATTTTGCGAGGAGGCTGACATCACATTAGTAGTCTGAAATTGGCCAAGGCAGGCTATTTGCACCATGGCAGTCGGCAAGGCTACAAATAAGGGGTTCCCCTCACCCCCTGGAGAGCCAGTTAGATGGTTTAACATTTACCAGCACGACTGGTCATAGCCATTAAGCCCTCAACTGGGGGATCCCGGGACAGGACCCCATCTCTCTCCTGTCTTCTGTGGCAGCTAGTGGGAAGGCAGGCGGCAGAAGAGTACAAGTTGGAGAAAGGACCCCAGTGTGGATGGTGAGAGCTTCTTAGGCTGTATCTTCATCCTCAAACCACACAATAGGGCACAGCGCAGCAGGCAACAACTTTAGTAGAAGTTACAGCCTCCAACTGGCTCCCAGCCCAGGGGAGCCTCCAGATGGGTTTATGACACTGGTTCCCTGACATTACGTTCATCTCTCAGGCTGGGGCTCCTCCTCAGAGGTGTGTCCACTGGGGCATCCAGACCTGCCCTAGACCCCTCTGTAGGAAGCTCTGGCTCGGCCCTGACCCCTTACCAGGGTCCTTCGGTCAGCCTGTAACCCTGCCCCTCCTAGGGGCCTCAGGCCCAGACTGTGACCTTGGTAAGTCACTTTCCCCTCTGGGCCTGTTTCTCCATTTGACTTGATCAGGCTGGATACCCTGGCAGGCACAGCCAGCTGCTTATGTGGGAGTCAGGCCAGGGGCAGCATTGGCCCCTTACCCTTGCCTTTCTTGAAGCCTTATTCCCCAGCTCACACATACAAATTGTGACTGGCGTCATAGGAACTGTTGAGATCTCTGGACCGCAGAGAACATTCTGAGCCCCTGCCAAATGACAGAGCATTGAGGTCATGGCTCCCTTGACCATCAGGCATGTGTCACTAATGGGCCCTATCTAGGGAGACCATCCCATCTGAAGAAGTCCTAATCCCTACAGCACCCCCCCCCCCATATAAACTTGCACAGGCCTGAGGGATTCAGGTCCTACAGCCGGATGTCCTTAGTGTTCTCACCATCAGCTGGTGTGGACTCTGTCCACCTAGAGTCCTCACTGCTGGTCAATACATCTTTTGTCCTCTTGATGTCAGTCCTGTCCGACCTGCGCAGGCCCCCTCTGCGGCGAACCGGGGCAATAGGAGAGGGATCTGAGGGTGGCTTGGCATCTCGGGCAAAGCGCACGAGCCTCTGCCCCGCCAGGAAGTAGAGCACGGGGTCAAGGCAACTGTTGGCACTGGCCAGCGGCCGGGTGATCTTGTAAGCCACGTTGACGGCGTTGAGGGTGTGGCAGCTGAGGTCCAGCGAGCGGAAGGAGTAGTAGAGGGTGCGGGTGACGTGGAAAGGCAGGAAGCAGAGCGCGAAGACGGCCAGCACCACGGCAATGGTGCGCACCGACTTGCGCTTGGCCCGCGGCAGGCCCCCCGACATGCCATAGGCCGGCTTCAGCAGCCGCCGGGCCATAAGCACGTAGCACACCAGGATGACGGCGAAGGGCACGGCAAAGAGCAGGCCCAGCATGACGGAGCTGTAGGCCACGAACTGGCCGAAGAGCTCGGGCGCGGAGGTGTCGTGGCAGGTGATGCGGCCGCCCCGCACGCTGGTGGTGACGAAGTAGAGCACGGGGGACTGGCAGGCCAGCACGAGCACCCACACGGCGGCCGCCACGCGGCGGGCGTAGTGCGCGCGGCCCCAGCGCAGCGAGCGCAGCGGGCGCAGGACACCCAGGCACCGGTGCACGCTGATGCACGTGAGGAAGAGGATGCTGCAGTAGAGGTTGGTGTAGAAGAGGAAGCGCACCAGCTTGCACAGCACCACGCTGAAGGGCCAGTGGTCGCCGTGGGCGTAGTAGTAGACCAGCAGCGGCAGGGACGCGGCGTACAGCGCGTCGCACACGGCCAGGTGGAACATGTACGTGGTGGACGCGTTCCAGGTCTTGAGGCGGCACAGGAAGACGTAGAGCGCCGCGGCGTTCAGACACAGCCCCAGCACACACACCACGCCGTAGGACACCGGCAGCAGCACGTACTTGAAGTCCTCATTGAAACGGCACTTGTAGCCCAGCTCGTCCCCTTCCCAGGAGTCATTGACCGTGCCGTTCCAGCGGCCCAGGCCTGTGGCCATCG